GGTCCCCAAGATGAGATGATTTATCCACAGTGTCAGAGAAAGATGTGGAGAGTCACAGGTAGCACTAGGGACTTTGTGATCTAACTCAAAGAGAATTAAAAACAGAGGCTGAGGATCTGAGGCTCACTGAGCCACAGGGCATCGGCAGGCAGGAGAAATTAAAAACGTGGGGCCTTCTACTTCGAAAAACAAGCAAGTGCTTGGGGGCCACCCTCACCTGCCTTTAACCCTTCCCTGTGTAGAGCGAGAAGCGGAGAGAGGTTTCACCTGAGGCATTCATTTGAGCTGAGGAAGAGACCTCCGTTGGCAGAACCTAAGTTCTGCGGGAGCTTCAAATGAGGAGGAGGAAGTAGAGAAGCACCAGGACCCTGTACTGCAACATCCCATGAAATGGCTAGAGAAGCATTAGGAAGAAATGTAGGATTGTACCCAGGAAGAAAACCGCGCTTGAGTATGGGCTGAGAGAGCAGCCTGAGACTTAGGCAAAGTTTTACTTCTGTAGAAATATATAGACTATGCAGGAGAGGTGCTCGGTTGATAAAGTGCAAGCCGAGGGGCCTGAGCCCAGCCTCAGAACACACATAAAAAAACACAGGCATCCTGCAGATACTCTAAATCCCAGAACTGGCAAGATAGAGACAGGCAGATTCTTCGAGCTCACGGGCCAACCAACCTAGCTTTAGTTGGCAAGTTGCAGGCCACCAGTGAGAGACTGCCACAGACAGATTGATCTTAGGCCTGTATGTTATATGTATATATGTATGCATGTGTGTACATATACATACACACATGTACAGGAACTTATGTACCTACATTAATACTTGCACACATACGTAAGAAATATACAGAAAAATTATTTTATTTTATTATTTTTTTAAGATTTATTTATTTATTATGTACACAGTGTTCAGCCTCCATGCCTGCAGGCCAGAAGAGGGCACCAGATCTCATTACAGATGGTTGTGAGCCACCATGTGGTTGCTGGGAATTGAACTCTTGACCTCCGGAAGAGCAGTCAGTGCTCTTAACCTCTAAGCCATCTCTCCAGCCCCAGAAAAATTATTTTATAAACTCATAATTAAGACTAAGAATATTTAAGGGAAAAGAATTAACCAGAGAAATGAAATGTCTTTGCATTCTTTAATCTTGGACCACCAGGAGCCACAGAGAAGTGTGGTCAAGGCGCTGCAACAATAGCAGACACAGGAATTCTGCCCACTGGGAATTCTAATTGGAGGCATTGTTTTGGATGTCTGGAAAGAGAACAGAAGTGCAGACAAGAAAAGGAAAGCTTCAGAGGGGATCAACAACATGCCCTGGCCAACAGCTATAAACATGGGGCCCATGAATCTTTCTCTTACATTCAGTACAAGGTATATCCTGTTACCTGATGCCAAAGCCCACTATCCAGAAAACCCTGGCCAGGTCCCAGTACCTATGCAAACACAGAATTCTCCACACTCAATGCCATGCAAAGAAGGAACTCAAAGATGAAAGATGAGGATTTGTAATCAGGTTGCAGAAGTTGTGTGTAGCTGGGTGGGGTGGGGTGGGGTGGGGTAACTAAGTGTGGCATTCCATGCTGTGAGCCAGAGAAAGCACCCAAGTTGGATAAACAAATGGCCACAAGGAAGGAGGGAAGGAACAGATGATGGCACTGCCATATGCCTACCCATAGGTCTCCCTATACTCTGTGTGGCCAACTGACTGTCCTCAGAGAGGGAGGACTGGAGACAGACCTCTGCAGTATCCAGAGCCTCTGCTCTTAGCCAACGCCATTTGGCCATTAAGATCAAAGAAACCTTTGCTCTAAGTCAGCCAGAGATAACCAGATTCTTAGCCTTGCAATCCCACCCTATGTAGTCAGCCATCTACTTCAGATCCCAGATAACCCAGTGTCTACTCTGACAACAAGAAACTGCTAGCAGACAGCAGGGGGAAAACATGTTTTTGTAACTTAACAGTCAGGGTTTGCCCATCCGGAATGTGGGTGGCTGATACCCACAGGTCACCCCCAGGCAGACACACTGCACCCTGGACAATGCAGAGCAAGCCATGAGGAGAGGCAGGGCTTGTGGTCACTGTGTCACGGACCCCCACTGTCAGGCTTGGTGGCTCTCTCCTATCAAGCCTGCTTCGAGGCTGCAGCGTATTGGATGAGCACAAACAGGATTCTGCTCAACAGATAAAGTCGAGTCATTTCGTTAACAAGAACTCAGATTAGATTACTCTGTGATTACATGGTTCCACGGTGTGATAAATTGGTTAATGACAGGATTCCCAGTGTAGTCGCTTAATGGGAATTCAATAATTACAGGTGCCCAGGATTGTATGTTAGCCCAGAAGACGCCAGCCACATGCATTGTTCTAATCACTAAAAGGCTACCTGAGACAGTTGCGATGGTCGTGACGTGGAGGACGTGTTTCGGGATTAGTTTAGCTAAATGTCACATCTCACAAACTCCTGAAAGGCTCTTGTGGCCCAAATGTCCAGGCTAAGAATTCTCTAGTTCTTTTCTTTTTCGGCACCAGACCCAACTGTAAAGCCTGCAGTTGACACGTAATAGTGAGAACACAGTCATATTTGAACTATGCACGATAGTTAAGAGATCTTGGGTGTTTGAGAATGTACTCTTTCTAGAATTCGGTAAGACAGGCAATTATCTTTCCTGGAACTAAAGTAAATGGAAGCTCACTGATGATGAGAGAATTAACTCACCCCTGCTCCCCAGGCACCAAGACAGGATCTCCTACTTTCTCAGGTACCACAGTCCAGACAAGCTAGAATGTCACAGGTTCCGAGAATCCTAAGGTTTGTCCTTGGCACAGCTGTCCCTAGGAGGGGCCTTGTCTCTACTAGCACATCAAGACGCAACATTTGACACAATGGACTTCAGTTCTACTTCCTAGAACAAGGAAGATTTGAACTGAGTCCTGAAAGTTGTCCTCCAACATGTGTGCATACAGGGACACAGACAGACAGACAGACAGACAGACACACACACACACACACACACACACACACCCCACCTAAAAAATAAATGGAGAGAATAAGGCTTCTGGTGGAAAATAGCCATAAACATCCCTTGACATTAAAAAAAAAACCCTCAGTGATATTACAACCTTTGACAATATGAAAAATGGTGTATGGGATTTAAAAACCATAAACTGGTATATTCAATAGGTCTTGAACTTATTTTTAAAACTCCAGATAATACGGCTTTGCTGGTTTGTGTTCCTGAAATGTCAGAATTTGGCTGGGATTAATGGCTCTAAATGGAAAGGATTCCGTGTTTATAGATGGTGTATGTGTCCCCAGGCTAGAGGAAGAATGCTATGAACATTCGCTGAAATCTACTGACATTTATTCTGACATCTGGACAACAGGACAGGGTAGAAGACTCCACAGCCCAAGTCCAAACCACATGATCTAAACAACACGGGATAGGAAGAAAAAACCCTCAGTGCCTCATCATCAGAGAAAACCACATGGGCCAGGGCATCCCTTCGGAGTGGATTCTAGCAGACCATCCCTGCTTACCAAAGATGTCAGGGACAGCTCCAGCACTCTGGCAGACTTCCTCACAGAGGCACCCTAAGTGGCAACCGATATTCTGAAGCACATCTTCAATCTTATCTTCCTAACACACACACATCCTGGCACACACCCCTGCTCCCACAGAGTAATTACAATCTTGTATTGTTTTGACCAAACACGATCTCTGCTGCTTCCTGGAAAGCTGTGCTTGGTAACAGCAAGGACCTTTCAGCAGTGCTGAAGAGATAACCACAGGACTCCTCCCCACACTCTCCTCCTAGCGGTTGTCCTTAAGAATGTTTGAGACTAGTAAGGAAACTAGTAATTTGCAAGTAGGCAGGGCCACAGTCATTGGATTCATGGTGCTTCCAGTCCACTGGCTTCCCTGACCAGTGGTGGCTGCACAGGAAGACACAGCTTGATGCGTTATGTGCCCTGCGTGTGCATGCATCGTGACTACTGCTTGACTGAGATGCAAATTCTTTGTGTAAGGTGCATGTATGGACATGTTCTGTGCATGCATGTGGAGGTCAGAAGTGGAGTCACACATCTACCTCTACTGCTCTCCATTCTATTTCAGTGTCATTTTTGACAACGGAAGACTTCTGAATAATGTATTTTTTATCATACACACCCACCCACCCTACCCTGTCTCCTCCCAGATCCACTTCACAACAGAACTTTGTGTCCTTTATTTTTTTCTTCCCCTACTGATCGAGACCAGTTTGCGCCACCTAAGTACTCTTGGATGTATGGCCTTCTTCCCGAGGCTCAGGGGCCACTGAGGGAGAGGAGACAGAAAGAGTCCAAGAGCAAGAGGTAGTAGATGAATACAAGGAAACAGTGTCCTCGGTACACAACAGGGTAGCTGCACCTAGGAAGTCACAGCCATTGAGACAACATGTACAAGCCCTAGCTTTAGCCACATAAAACCCCAGCATGGACCAGAGAGAGGGGTACAAAGCTCCTAGCTGAGGAGCTACAGGCAAATGGTAGCTGCTGGGAGAGTAGTCTCTGGTGAACCTCCGTCTTATTTTTAGATGTGGGGCTTCTCTCCAAACCTGGAGCTCACTGATTGCTAAGCTGGCTGGCCAGTCTCTGGCCCCAGCACTGCATACCGGGCTCTGAGTGAGCATTCAGGGTTGATCACACCTTCGTGCTTACAGGATGAGCCCTTTATTGGCTGAGCCATCTCCCTAGTCTCATGATAAGACTGTGGAACAACTGTGTCCCTTAGATCTTTAAAGGCTTGCCTGTGTGAAAGTGTGTTCTTTTCCAAAGAACATGAGTGAATTTGGAGGAGATCATAGTGCTCAATAGAAGAACAAAAAGATATTGGCAACAGTTTATTATTAAACAGTGAAGATATATTATAAACAGACTGTGATGAACATAACCCTGATGGGGGCGGGGAGCCAGATCTCTAGGGTCGCACACTAAACTCTGTGTTCTGTCTTTCTAGCGTGGAGCTGGATTTTAAGCAACAAGAAGACAAACTCCAGCCTGTGCTGAGAAAACTGCACCCAGTCGAGGAAACTCAGGTCATCCCTTCGCCTTACACTCAGGAGACTTCCTCCTCCACACCCAAGCAAAAATCCAAAACGGAGTCCAAAAAGCACGGAAGGTGGAAACTCTGGTTTCTTTAAGACTCGTGGGCTCGGGAGTCCCCAGACCGTCTTTCAAACCCACTGGAATTTAAGTCAGTCCTTTTCCAAACTGGATAGGACCAAGGGAACTGCGGTGCCAATGTGTGCTCCCTGCTTCTCACCCTTCGTACCAAAAAGGCCTTCGCACCAACAGATAATGTGCAGCAAAGGGAGTGACTATCACCCCTTGCCAGCTGTCCGTTGCAGATCACTGGTGTGGGGTGTAAAGTCTGAAATAAAACTTACGTAATCAAAGATAAGGAAAAACTCTAACCCCTGGCAGCCCCCTCCCATCCATGAACAAGTATTGAGTTATCAGTGTTTCACGCAGCAGGCTGTCCATCTGTAGACAGTGGAACTTTTCATTGTTTTTGGCCTTTTATTCTTATGACTTTTTTTTTACATGAGAAGACAAAGCAAGCCTTCTGTTAGCAAAGGACTTCATTTTTACCTTTCATTTTGCAAATAAGCAGGGGGCGGGTGCAGTTTTCAGCACATTAAATTCCGGAGAAAGCACAATTTTTTTCAAGTGGTCGGAGACCATGAATAATCTCGAAAATGTGACTCTATGTATACCTGCCTTTGTGTGCTGTAGCGCTACGCCAAGTGACCACATCTCAGTGTCACATTGACGCCACAGATTTAGCACCCTCTTCATCTCCAGATGGACGACATGTTTACTGCTCATTTTCCAAATGGCCAGCAGCCAGGAACCACCCCTACCCCCACCCCACGTCAGGTTATGCCTTCAATCATTGCAAGCTGACAGGGTCAGAGCTAATGGACACTAAGCTGTCTTAGGTCTTGTTTTTAATCTTTGGGTACCCAAAGGCCAAATGATGAATCTGGCGAGCATTTGAAAAGAGACAGAGATACACAATGGATAATATAGTTACCTATAAATCACCGGTGCCTGGGCTGCGGCAGAAAGTGTTTTTGTGGCTCAGTCCCCAGAGACACTCTTCATCCCTGCGTACAGCCAGGTGTTGTCTACAGTTCTTTATGCCCTGTCTCTACTGTGCAAGATCTGACCATCTCAGAGAGAAACAGTGTTTCCCTTAGCTGCTACCAACGGCCAAATTTACCATCGCCTCCATTTAAGCTATCAGTAAATTGTATTAAATGGCATACTTAGGGGAAAGCTGTGAATCAGATGTTTTTAGGGATTTTTTTTTAAATCCGCCATCACACACAAGAGTTCTCTCTTGATTACACATGACAACGTGAACCTCCACTCCTTTCTTTTACACTCATGTCTTTGGACCTTTCCAGGTCTCTTTTTTATAGAAAACAAAATCCTCTTGTGAGTTAATGATGTCTCTCAGTGTTCTGCTTCTCATGTAGGAAGTAGGGGGGGCGGGGTCTTCTTTTGCCTTTTATTTATTTTTCTTTTTTTTGTATAACTTAAAACTTTGAATAGTTGTGAGCATATGAGAAAAACCTAGTCTTCAGTGTCCGTCCAGGGCTTTCAGCAGGAACTGCATGCTGATGGCAGCCTCGCGGATCTGGTGGCAAACCCAGAGCGGCTTGGTTTGGGGAGAAGGTCATGGCCTGCTTTGGATGGGCAGGAGGTAAGACTCACCATGCTTTTCCTCTGGACTCAACAATTTCATTTAGTTCTGACATTTGAGTTATACAAGGATCTAGAGATCAGCAATCAGATCTGGTCTTTAAAAGAGAAAACTAAAAGAATATTTTGTATGACTGCTCTCAGGGGATTACTTAAACCACACTACAGAGGTATGCTTAGTTTAAAATGCGTGCACACACACACACACACACACACCCCACGTGTGGGAATACATACACACACACACAAACACAAACACATGCCTTTCACAAAGTACACTGCAAAATTTCAAATCTGCTTAATTCAAAATGCACACACAGACCATATCACACACGCAGGTGCAGGTGCACGTGCACACATGGGCATGCACACAAGCACATGCCTTTAAGGAAGTACGCTATGGGAATTCAAATCCACAGAAGAGCAGTAAACAAATGAGCCGGAGGAGAGCCCTGACCACGCTGATCCTGTACCTTGAAGGAAGTGCAATTGTCTCATGCATACTGAACCTTTAAACATGTCTTTCACGTTTTTATACTGTTTTTAACTGACATTATGAAAATGCTGGCAACCAGTTTTCTCATGTGTTTGACGAATTCCATGTTCTCAGTAAGTGGAAGAAAGGGTTTAGCAACTTTCTGTCCTGTGCTGCACATCTGTCTAAATGCAAATACGTGTGACTACCTGTGATGTCACTGTTTCGAGTCAAATAAAAAAATTAAATATTTTAGAGCCAGAAATGAAACGCTGAAGATAAACTAATTCCTCCTTGAAAGAAAAAGCATCTCTGCCAAACAGGAAACAAAATGCATTTTCAAGCTCATTTCATAGCCAATCACAATATGCCAACGACAGAGGCCGACCCTTCTCCTGGAAAGATTGAAGTCAAAATTCATACAAAACCAAGTGAAAAGTTCAGTATTCCCTTCTATGTAGATGTACACATGGCATTACGTATAGAGAGTAAATTATTATACTTGTCATTAAATATTTATTAATTTTTAAATAAAAAAGGCAAAGGTAATGTTTTGTGTGGCTACTCAACTCATTTCACAGCCACTATACTTTGGGAAAACTCAAGAAAATAATACTGGGCAGATATTTGACCTAGAAGGCACTCAGTTGGGGTTTGGAAAGATGAGAGCGTCATGTGCCCTGGCTGCTCCCTATATACCTAACCCTGACCAGAGAGACAATTCTAGCATGCTTACCCAGCACCATGGCATGGGTTTAGCCACCAGGAAAATAAGGTAAAATTTTAAGGCATGCAGTGTTGACAAGGGTTCTGTCCCACCAGGTCCCACAGCCGTTTAGTCCCAAATAAACACACAGAGGTCTACATTAATCATAAATTGGTTGGCCTAGTAGCTCAGGCTTCTTATAAGTTAACTCTTACATCTTAACCCATAATTCTTTTCTGTGTTAGCCATGTGGCTTGGTACCTTTGTCAGCTTTGACAACTGCAGACTGAATCTTTGCTCTTCCCAGAATTCTACTGTTCTTGTCGCCCCGCTTGTAATTCCTGCCTGGCTACTGGCCAATCAGCATTTTATGAAACAAGTACAAGAAACAAATCTTTACAGGGTAAAACCATTGTCCCACAGCAATGCAGGGTACATACATGCTCATGGTATCATTTGCCTAACTTGTGTCTATTTTTTAAAGAGCCTCCAAGACAACTAAATTCACCCAGTGCTGCCACCTTCCACGGCCTAGAGTTTGTGGGTGGCTTCTCATTAGAATAGAGGTTCTCAACCTATGGGTTGAGGCCTGTTTGGCAAATCTCTATCTCAAAAAAATACTTATATTATGACTCATAGCAGTAGCAAAGTTACAGTTAGGAAGTACCAACACAATGACTTTATGGGTGGGGGTGAGCACAACATGAGGAACTGTATTAAAGGGTAACAGCATTAGGAAGTTGAGAGCCATTGCTCTAGAGCATTTATCAAGTAGGTCCCTGGTCCAAGAGGGGTGACAAGCTCTTTTTTTCTCTCTCCTCTGAGTGGGAAACCATCACTCCAGCATGGATTTAAAACCTAAGTCCAGACCATTGTCACTAGGTATGAGAGGTGGCCTGCATCCTCTGTGGGAGAAGATGGCACATCTACAGATATAGGTCCACTGCGGATGTGGGTATGACACCTCACTGTCCCCACATTTGCCTTGGGGAAATGAAGGAGATGAAGGCAAATTCTATGGGCAGAAGGAAGAGAGGGGCCCAATGCATCAGTACATACAGATGGGAAGAATATTCAGGAAAACTCTAGAATCGGTCCTTAGCCACATGCTAGGTAGGGTCACCTTAGAGTAGCTCTTATATAAACACCAAAATACCCATTCTACGAGACCATCAGAGTTTGAATGGGAGGGATCCAATGTCCAGAAAAGCCATGCTCTCTGAGCGTCTGTGCGTCCCTCAAGATTGTTAGTCTCCACTGCATAGCTGAGTGTGGCAGACAAGGGGCAAGGATATCATAGCAATTGTTCTTGATCAGCTGAAAGAACCCCCAAACACAGGCAGACAAAATGAGGCAGGCGCCTAACAAGATTAATTTCCTTGTGGACCATGACAGGCATGTCACATCCCACAGAGACCACCATTTGTTGAGAGAGAAGAGATGCCATCAGATAAAAGAGTTTGCCATGTTGCCTTTTATAGAAGCGGGCCAGAATTAGAATCAGCCAAGGGCCATGAACTTCCACCACATCATCTGGTAGCAGCATGGTCAGTGGATAACCACCCTACACACTGGCAGGCTGATGTTATAGGACTGTTTTTACCTGGCTCAGTTACCACCAGTAGAGGCAGTTTCATGGTGCAATGTTAGCAAAGACCATAACAACAGCTTCCCTTGCCCACATTGTTCATCTCTTAAAAATGACCTTTCATGCCTTTGAGCTCAGATAAGTGTGGAGCCAATTCATTTATTGGAAGAAAACACCTATACAATACAAAAATCAAAAATATCACTAAGCCTTGTGAATTAACAAACTAATCAAGCCGTAATGGGTGGGATGCATTATGGCAGGTCACAGGTCATGTGAAAGCTACTCATTAGCTTCTAAATACCTTATAATTAATATAAAGTACCTTTACAATCTGGTATGAACATGTTGTGGAAACTCCTTCAGCCAATAGTCTTTTAGATACCAGCCCACTTTGGGCATGGTCTCATGCACTATAAATGCAGACAAAAAAAGTATGTGTGGCTCTCTTTGCTCCTGGATTTGGTTCTAATTCCCAGTGCACTCAGAGGACTGTGGATCGCTACCCTTACTATGAGTTTATCCCCAAATTAATAAATCTTTGTTACACTCCATTCCGGGCTATTGTGGAACTCTTCAAATTTTACCCAGGCAATGACATGATTCTTATTTCCTCTGCTATAAACCCACTGTTAGTGAGCAAGGAAAAAAAAAAGCCAGGACACATCAACATAAAAAGCAAGAAAAATCACACACTGCCAAGACCAAATATAAATGAACTTATAAAGTTATCGCTCACACATATACATACACAAGGGTGAATTTCTGAAGGCCACCAATATAGTTGGACAGCTGGTATGATGGCTGTATTCAAAAGTCAAGCTCCCTCCATTTGAAACATCTATAATGCACTCTGTAAATAAGGGCTTTGGAAAGCACATTCATACTTTAACTCCAAGGAAATACACATCTCAACACCAGAGCTCATGCGGAAGGGATATAATATGTTGGTGATAAAATTGTTTTGAGTCTGAGTGAAAGAGTCCTCTTCCCTGGGGTAACAGTTACAATCAACACCTTGCTTTCCAAATGCAGGGCCTTATGAATGATCTGGGATATTAAGGAACTCCCCACCAAGGCTGCCACTGCCCCTATCAAACACTGTCCATACAGCTGTAGCCAAATAGTGTCCATTGCTGAGTCCAGTGAGGTAGAGGCTCCCAAAGTCATTGTCAGTGAATAATCCAAAAAAGACTCCCCACCCCTAAGCCCTCTTCTGTGAACTTCCCAGGGGACCCTTCCATTAGGAGAGGTCACATCTTTGCCTAAAAGAGTTGGTAATTGTCCATCTTCTGGTGTGTATCCAGGCCAAAGAAATCTCTTTAACCATCGTCCTCACTCAATTACATTTTTTAAAGGACTCATTACCAGAATATAATCCAGTCACTTGAAAGAAGCAACCGCTAATGCAGCAGGAGTAGGAACATCCCTACCTATTAATCATTGTTCTCTGGCCATGGCTCATCCCATGGAAGATGCATGTGTATAGCTCCAGGTCACAGCAAATGGCTGATCCGGTCACCTGTCTACAACTACAAGGTCCCTGCATAGTATCACACATGCTGGGTAGGAACACAAGCATGCTGGAGCCTCGACTGGCTTCCAAAAGGAAGAGAAAAATAAAATGTAAAGTCGAACCTAACGCAGAGCTGAGTAATTCACTCAAGAGCCTCTGATGGTGACTTGGACCCCTGCCACCTGTTTCGTGTGGCTGTGGTTACAGATGTGTAAGGTCAAGGGCAAGTCCATGCTCATACACACTTTCTTAACATTCAAGGGCTCATCTTAAAGAACTTCTAAGTGGAAGAGAGATGGAAAAGATCCTTTAATTCAATGCTAACGTTACAGCATAGCCTGGTCTCGGCATTTACATGCTCTCCAATCTACTGTTGCCAAGTGAAGGGGCTTCGTTTAAATTTTCTTAGGTAATTCACTGATTTATCTGAATTATGACCTTTGGGATCAAGAAACATTTTCCTGTGTATGAAGAGCATTCCCGTGGACACTTTTCAAATGCAGTGAACTTAAACAAATGCCACATGACAGAGTGCAAAGCGGAGTTTATATTAAAACATTGCAGATGTGGCTAAAAGTGGCTATACACTGACTATGCAGCTTGTCCACTTCTGTGTGAGGGCGCCTACTCCTAACCAGGCACAGACTGAATACCTAATAAATACTCACCCCTGGGAAAACGCAGACCCATTTCCAGCACTAACTTTGACAATGTCACAGAATAAGTCTTTTAATGAAATGCGTCTACTCAGTTTTTTATTTTAATAACGTCGATCTTTAAAAAAATATCCATTTTGAGCCATCACTTATAACTTTCCAGCTGATTCACAGTTATACAATTTCCAGTATAGTTATGCAAAGTGAGTAACCCAAGATGATGGAAATCTTTGGGGCACAATGGGATGGTACAGCTCACCTACAACAAATCTGTAAACCATTTTCTGCTCTGTTTTCACCCTAGAGGACCCACTGATGAAGCTTTTGTCCCCCTTGTCAGGGATGCTTTTGTGACGCTCCTCCAGTAATCTAAATTCACAGAGCAACAGGGTTGCATTAAGTTAATGCATGCATCCCCAGCTGGTGCGGACAGCGATACCAAGGTGACACACGCAACGGGGGGAGTTCTGCAGTCCCACTACTCTGCAAGCAGCAGAGAGGGGACTCGAGGATGGCAGACAACTGACAGATACTTCTCAACAATTCAAATCTTAAATGGCCAACATCCTTCTTGATATATCTTGACACTGTCGTTGCTTATTAAATAATTACAGCTCATTCATGTTTCTTTTTGGATTTCCTCCATGACAGCTTGGCTTCACAGAACAAATATCAAAGGAGTCTTTGAATCTCTTTTATCTGAGATGTTCAGAATGGAGAGAAGTTGACTTAAGACCTCAATCCCTCTTTGACTTCTGGTGACCTCTGTGAAGGTCAGGGATACAGTAGATGGTCCTGGCTGTGGCACTCCCTGATAATGCCTTGCACCCCTGATACCCACTCTCTGTGGATGTGGCTACAGATGGGTAGAGTCTCACAGAGGTCCTTACTGAATAGCCACTTTAAGAACAATTGAGAGTTCATCTCAAGGAATTGTTAAGTGGTTCTTAGAACACAAGAGCTATGCCAAGCTTGGACACTAACCCATCATGAAACTCAGCACCTGAATTCAACCTGCAGAAGACTGGATAGGATAGAAAAGGGCTTATTTC